CTAACTAACTAACTAACTAACTAACTACTAACTAACTAACTAACTAACTAACTAACTAACTAACTAACTAACTAACTAACTAACTAACTAACTAACTAACTAACTAACTAACTAACTAACTAACTAACTAACTAACTAACTAACTAACTAACTAACTACTAACTAACTAACTAACTAACTAACTAACTAACTAACTAACTAACTAACTAACTAACTAACTAACTAACTAACTAACTAACTAACTAACTAACTAACTAACTAACTAACTAACTAACTAACTAACTAACTAACTAACTAACTACTAACTAACTAACTAACTAACTAACTAACTAACTAACTAACTAACTAACTAACTAACTAACTAACTAACTAACTACTAACTAACTAACTAACTAACTAACTAACTACTAACTAACTAACTAACTAACTAACTAACTAACTAACTAACTAACTAACTAACTAACTAACTAACTAACTAACTAACTACTAACTAACTAACTAACTAACTAACTAACTAACTAACTAACTAACTAACTAACTAACTAACTAACTAACTAACTAACTAACTAACTAACTAACTAACTAACTAACTAACTACTAACTAACTAACTACTAACTAACTAACTACTAACTAACTAACTACTAACTAACTAACTAACTAACTAACTAACTACTAACTAACTAACTAACTAACTAACTAACTAACTAAACTAACTAACTAACTAACTAACTAACTAACTAACTAACTAACTAACTAACTAACTAACTAACTAACTAACTAACTAACTAACTAACTAACTACTAACTAACTAACTAACTAACTAACTAACTACTAACTAACTAACTAACTACTAACTAACTAACTAACTAACTAACTAACTAACTAACTAACTAACTAACTAACTAACTAACTAACTAACTAACTAACTAATAACTACTAACTAACTAACTAACTAACTAACTAACTAACTAACTAACTAACTACTAACTAACTAACTAACTAACTAACTAACTAACTAACTAACTAACTAACTAACTAACTAACTAACTAACTAACTAACTAACTAACTAACTACTAACTAACTAACTAACTAACTACTAACTAACTACTAACTAACTAACTAACTAACTAACTAACTAACTAACTAACTAACTAACTAACTAACTAACTACTAACTAACTAACTAACTAACTAACTAACTAACTAACTAACTAACTAACTAACTAACTAACTAACTAACTAACTAACTAACTAACTAACTAACTAACTAACTAACTAACTACTAACTAACTAACTAACTAACTAACTAACTAACTACAACTAACTAACTAACTAACTAACTAACTAACTAACTAACTAACTAACTAACTAACTAACTAACTAACTAACTAACTAACTACTAACTAACTAACTACTACTAACTAACTAACTAACTAACTAACTAACTAACTACTAACTAACTACTAACTAACTAACTAACTAACTAACTAACTAAACTAACTAACTAACTACTAACTAACTAACTAACTAACTAACTAACTAACTAACTAACTAACTAACTAACTAACTAACTAACTAACTAAACTAACTACTAACTAACTAACTAACTAACTAACTAACTAACTAACTAACTAACTAACTAACTAACTAACTAACTTACTAACTAACTAACTAAAAGATGCTTTACACCGGGGGACTATGTGTATCAATCCTCTTAAAATTTAATGAATAGATCCACATTTATATAAAACGTATTTATCCTTTTAATATTCATGAGCTCAATTTTGAGCTTTTAAGCCCTATTCGGTTCAGTTTTGTAGAGGCTAGATGGAATAATGGACCAATATAATTCATTTTCAACAAACTTTGTCCCAAATTTCATTGAATTATCTTTAAAATTGCGACCTCAAGGTTTACAGGGACGAACAAACGGATAGCTAAATAGACTCTGGAAATGATTACAAGCCGATTATTTTAAGGTGGGTGTATGACCTAGATTATTGTGCGGCACTAATAAGTATATTCTAAACTTTAGTTCCCGTTACACATATTCAAAAACGCAATAGAAATTAATATAAAGATAAGATGGTACAAAGTGATTTATTTGATGTTAGGGGCAATTATGTATTGATCTTATGAAATTTAATGAAGACATGATTCTTATAAAATTGTTTTATATCGAATGTCAATATTATTTTAAAGCTAGTTAAGAAGATTAAAATAAAGAATATAGATAAAATCATTAAACCATATTCTCTGAGGGCACTTGTATTGAGTCTAGAAAATATCAAAAATGTCAAAATTACCTTATCAATAGAGTATGTTTTTGAATAATTTCACCCATCTAGTTTGGATCGTATTTCTATGGTTACAAAAGTCTATTACGCTAAGGTGTTTATATAACTGAGGCTGTAGGATTTTATATGAATGAACTTGCATATGTATGTAAATACTACCGATTATAGCATGACTAGAATTTGTACACAATATAGTTTTGTAAACAATGATTAAACATTTTTTTAGATTTTTATTGTATTTGCTACGCTTATAAATTGTTAATTAATTTTTCACAGTTATTGTTTATTAATTAAAGAAGTGAATAATTTTATTATAAATTAATATATTAAAATATTAATTGTATAAAAGCGCATTCAACCATAGTATTAGTAAATATAATATTCTTTTAAAAATTTAAAGATTTAAAATTTGTTTTTTTTTTTAACAATAAACATACCGATTTTTATTTAAAATATTTAGTTCATTGACACATTGCTCTATATATTTTATACATATGTATATTTTACTCACCTCTTTAACCGATTTAATAAAATGCGGTTTGAAAACAAGCTAAAATTAATTTACATGACAATATTAAAAAATTTATTATTTATATCTTTATAGAGAAAATTTATATTTAATTTGTTAAAGATGCTGCTAAAAATATTTATGAGAAATTTCTAACCTTATGTTTTTAATTAAATTGCATAATAAATTAGACAGATAAGTGGAAAGAAGTATAGAATGAGAAAGTGTTATCACTACTGGTTTATTGGGTCTTTAAGTAAGAATGGGATTTTTATTATAATTAAATTTTGATATGTATGTAGGTTACCAGTGATAGTGGTTTTCATATGGTAAATGTGTAATATTGGGGAAGAAGAAACTAATAAGGGCAAAACAAATATTTCCCTTCTCTGACCTCTTTAAAACAAGACGATAGACAAGATTATATTCCAAACATTAGACAAGACTATAGTTGAAATTATAAGTACGACAATAGTCCAGACTATCGACAAGACTATAGACAAGACTATAGTCTAGACCATAGACAAGACTTAGTCTAGACTATACTATACTAGACAAGGCTATAGTCTAGACTATAGACAAGACTATAGTCTAGACTATAGAAAAGACTATAGTCTAGACTATAGAAAAGACTATAGTCTAGACTATAGACAAGACTATAGTCTAACCTATAGACAATACTATATTCTAGACTATAGATAAGACTATAGTCTAGACTATAGAAAAGACTATAGTCTAGACCATAAACATGACTATAGTCTAGACCATAGACAAGACAATAGTCTAGACCATAGACAAGACTTAGTCTAGACTATACTATACTAGACAAGACTATATTCTAGACTATAGACAAGACTATAGTCTCTTCTATAGTCTATAGTCTACACTATAGCTTTGTCTATAGTCTAGACTATAAACAATACTATATTCTAGACTATAGACAATACTATATTCTAGACTATAGACAAGACTATAGTCTAGACTATAGACAAGACTATAGTCTAGACCTTAAACAAGTCTATAGTCTAGACTATAGACAAGACTATAGACAAAACTGTAGTCTAGACTATATACAAGACTGTAGACTAGACCATAGACAAGACGATATAGACAAGACTATAGTCTAGACCATAGTCTTGTCTATGGTCTAGACTATAGTCTTGTTTATGGTCTAAACTATAGTCTTGTCTATAGTCTAGAATATAGTATTGTCTATAGTCTAGACTATAGACAAACCTATAGTATAGACTATAGAAGAGACTATAGTCTAGACTATAGACGACACTATAGTCTAGACTATAGCCAAGACTATAGTTTTGACTATAGACAAGACTATAGTTTAGACTATAGACAAGACTATAGTCTAGACTATAGACAAGACTATAGTCTAGACTATAGACAAGACTATAGTCTAGACTATAGACAAGACTATAGTCTAGACTATAGACAAGACTATAGTCTAGACTATAGACAAGACTATAGTCTAGACTATAGACAAGACTATAGTCTAGACTATAGACAAGACTATAGTCTAGACTATAGACAAGACTATAGTCTAGACTATAGACAAGACTATAGTCTAGACCATAGACAAGACTATAGTCTAGACCATAGACAAGACTATAGTCTAGATTTTAGTCTAGGCTATAGTCTAGACTGTAGACAAGACTTTTATCTAGACTAAAGACAAGTCTATAGTCTAGACTATAGTCTACACTATAGACAAGACTATAGTATAGATTATAGATAAAACTATAGTCTAGATTATAGACAATACTATAGTCTAGATATAGACAAGACTATAGTCTAGAGTATAGTCTTTTCTATAGAATGTTAGTTAGTTAGCCTTGGCTATTGTCTGACATATCGGCAGGTCAATAGTATTATCTACAGCCTAAATTAGAGTCTAGTATATTGTCTGAAATACTTATACTCTGGATTATAGACTTGACTCGTTCGAAATTACACTTAAAATTCTAATGATATTGTTAATATGCCTTAACCCCACACATAAACTTTCTCTGCCTAAGCAACAAATGTTGCTGGCAACATGTTGCCATGTTGCTATCTATTAATTAACTAAACATTAAACAATAGCAAAAATCTCGACAAAATAAAATTCAAAATAGTTTTCTAATTTATTAGATAGATTGCATAAATGCAAAATCAGTTTGTATTTGACTGAAGCCATAGAATGATCGTTGAACGGTTGAATTTGTTAACGGAAAGCTAAAAAGTAAAGATACAAACGAAAACATCAAACAAAAGAATAATTATAAAAAAGAATTCTAAAATCAAAAAAAAAAATTAAAAAAATAATTTTTATAATAGTGAGAATCTTTAAAACATAACAACAAAAAATACACAAAATTTAAAAAACGATTAATGATAAAAATGAGAAGATTAATAACCATAGTTATATTGTTGGGCTGCATAAGGTTACAAGTGACAGCACACGGAAACCAAAAAAATGTAACTGAACATTTAAATTCAAATAAAACAGATTTTGTAAAGATTAAAATTGAGCTAAATATTAGCGATACTACAACACACAAAAATGGAATCAATACAGAAAATTTAATAACATCCTCCATGACGACTTCATCCACTACAGAAGGCATCATCAATCACACTAATTCAACTTCAAAACCTGCAACTGAAGCAACAACTACTTCAACAACAACTTCAGCAACAACATCAGCAACTGCAACTCCTACTCCTTCTCCTCCTCTTCTTAGCACTGAAGATACCTCATCTTCCAGCAACCAATACTGTTCACCCTCTTTGTGTGAATTCTATAATGGCACCCATACGAACATTAAACCTCATATTGCTTGCAAAAATAATGGTAATTTCGGTCCAGCTTGCGGTTCACAACCACATCTTCTGAAAATGAGCGAACGACGACGAAACCTCATTTTAGATTTGCATAATTTGGCACGTTCTCGCATCGCATCCGGCCAAGTGGACGGCTATAAGACGGCATCTCATATGCCACAACTTAAATGGGACAATGAATTAGAGTATTTAGCTACGTTGCATGTAAAACGTTGCAGATTCGAACATGATTTATGCCACAATTCACCGCGTTACCCGTATAGTGGTCAGAATATTGGTTATTTTTGGAAAGGCGCTAATATCACATCACATTCGAAACGTATGAAGAATTTCATTGTCAATTGGTATAAGGAACATAAGGATGCAAATCAAACATTTATCGATTCATTTCATTTGCATCCAGAGAGGTAAGTTTTCTTTTTTGTTGTTGTTGTTGTTGCTTTTGTAACAGAGTACAGTATAAAACTGTAGGAATTTGACATGTTGGTTTTTAAATCTATTTAAAGAATTAGGAAATTAAAATTCTCTATTTGTTTAAAAATATATAAAACTTAACTAGTTATACCCAGTATGCTTCGCTACCGTAAAAAATATAAATATTAAAACCCACTTTATGTTTTTTAAAGATTCCAGCTTTAATAGTTTCCCTATATGCATTTAATTCATATAGGGGTCAATTTCTAGTCCGCCACGTGAATATTACCCTAATATTCACATGAATGTCAAAGTTTCTCAGATATAAAAATATTTGTATTTCAGTTATATGGGAGTTTCCAAGGCCCCTTAATGAATGTCCGCCCATTTAGCAACAACTGCTCACAAATGTTAAAGCCTTTCGCACAAAAGTTTAAGATTCTAGCTCTAATGATTTGCCAGATGAACGAATTTTAGTATTTAATCCATATGGGAGGTGCCACGCCCACTATTTCTGTCCTAATTATTCATGTCGATGGCTTTGCTGTTATATTATCTCAGATATACTAATTTAAAATGTACTTTATATGGGAGATGCCACGCCCACTACAGCTCAGTCGCCTTTTTTATCAGGATATGTTAATATGGAAGTCAAAGTTGTTCATACAAGCATTGAGGGCTTTAGCTGTTGTAGGTTTTGAGATAAGCGACATTTAATACTTATTCTATATATGGGCGTGACACCTCGCTTGTCGTTGGGGTCAAATGGCATACCAGCACAAGTCTAGAAACAATGCTCATTAATTTGCTAATCTCTTGAGCATTCTATATCCTGCCAATGAATTTTCTATATGCTGAAGATTTCTGATGTAACACCATTTATTAGCAATTTGTTCAGCAATTTTTTAAGTTATTGAAAATAACATCTTGTTAAGTATTCAGCGTCCAACAAATTTTCTTACCGACCGCCAGCTTTCGTGTCAGTCGCTCTGTGAAAGACCTACAAGGCCTTTTATCGGAAAAAATGTATATAGTTCAATTCATAATTTTGGGTTGGCATGTTGTTATATATGGTACCACAAGGTAATCTCAGAATAGGGACATGCGAATAGATTTCAACGTCTGTCAGATCATGTTGCATCATGTAAAATTAAGTGGATGTTGAGCTCTTGATTTTCTTGGTATGCGAGTCAACACATATTTCAAGTGTCGAAGGAAGCATTTAAGGGCCTCGGGTTTATTATATACGACCAAAAATGGAATAACTATAGTAACTCGTATGTATGCTTCAAAGTATTGTTTAAAGCTACTCGACCGCGTGTAGGAGAAAGCTACTTCACTGTCCTACTGCTATCTCCTCGGGGACTGTTACCTTGATGAAAGAACCTCATCTTGGTGTAATTGCAATCCCGATAAAAAGAGCTACCAGTACCTCCAGTCTGCTGGAACTATAAACTAATGATGATCAAATGTATCCTCGGCCCTTCCTTGGAATGATTTGACATGGGGTTGAACCACAATATCTCCATCGTAATGTGGGTTGTGTTTCACTGCTATCCCTTCGGGGACTGTTTCCTGGATGAAAGACCCTCATCTTGGTGTTATTGCAATCTCGAGAAAAAGAGGTGCTACCAATACCTCGAGTATACTGGAGGTACTGATTCTGTGGAACAATAAACTAGTGATGATCAAATGTATCCTTCCTTGGAATGATTTGACATGGGGTTGATCCAGAGTACCACATAATCTGGTACCAGGGAAACCGGTAAACCGCAGGGCAGAATTTCAGGACTTTGTCTTGCCCCGGTTATTGGAGAGGTCCATTCAGGGTAGAAATTCGCAGTAATAGAATATCAGTTAAAAGACTTAGGCACGGTAATGTTTATAATTTTGGATAAGTTCGGTGCTGAAAATGAGTTAGTATGAAGTGTTATGGTACGGGGTATGCGGGCCTTACCCACCCGTATATCTAGAGTGAGTATTTCGGATGAATGAAAGTGTGCTGGGTTAAATGGTGATAGATGCAAGGTATCTCATACAATTGATATCATTGAATTTTTCCGTCTGGGTAAGTTCAAAGTTTAATCTGTTCATACCAGGTTTACCACAGTGTGCTCTCTGTGAGCCAGAACAGTACCTCGTCTGGATGGTGGAACTGTTTCGATCTACCGATTATGTCTATAGATGCTGTTGCCTACTTAACTAAGGCCATCCCATCTGCGTTGCAAACGATAGTGATGTTTTTGCATCTTGAAAATTAAGCAACGGGGAAGCAAGGGTCAGATATTAGATAGCTAACGTACTTGAGCAAAATTCTTATACATGACCGACTAAACCAAAAAATTACCATCGTAGTGTAATATACACAAAGGGGCGGTGGTGAGTCGTCAAAAAAGTTCATCCTGTGAATGAAAAAGATCACCGTGAAATTAAGCCTTCAAAGCAGGTGTTCACGTGACATGGTCTGTGTTCCTCTGATATTAGGAAACTAGTTTCCGATACTCGCTGATTTAAAGGCAACGCTACACTATCTCTCCAAGTTGAGCTTACATGGGAGCTGTGCCCACTTCATTCCGATGTGAAACAAATTTCGTAACTTTATAGGTTAACTAGCTTTACCCAGTGTGCTTTGCTACCCAAAAAGCAGTATAAATAAAAAACCCACTTAACGATTTTGAAGATTCTAACTGCAATAGTTCTCTAGATTTACAATATGTTACATATTAGAGATGCCAAGCAAATTACTGAAAGTTCGCCAATTTCTATCTATCTATGAAAAATTTGAATAATATAATAGTTTCCAAGATATACGAAATTTTGTATTTAATTCATTTATGTAGTGCCAAGCCCCCAATTGAAAGCTCGCCCGTTAGTCTCTAAATGTTTACATGAATGTCAGAGTTTTTTATGTAAAATTTTAAGATTCTAGCTCTAGTAGTTTCCAGATATACAATTTTTCTATTTCATTCATGTGGGGGCTTCAAGCTCCCACAGATGAAATCCCGATCTTTTTCCTCCAAAATATTCAGATGATTATTGAAGTAATTTCTGCAAAATTTGAAGAATCTAGTTCTATTAGTTTCCCAGATAAACGAAATTTTATATTTAAGTCATATGGGAGTTGTCAAGTTCCCCATTGAAAGTCCGACCGTTATACTCTAATTGTTCAGATAAATGTCAAAATTTTTCAAGTAAAATTTGAAGAATCTAGCTCTAATAGTTTCTAAGATATACGATTTTTTCTAATTAATTCATATGGGGGCTCCACGCCCCCCATATGAAAGTCCGCTCGTTTTCCCCCAAAATGTTCAGTTGAATATTAAAGTAATTTATGCAAAATTTGAAGAATCTAGTTCTATTAGTTTCCCAGATAAATTAATTTTTGTATTTAATTAATATGGGAAGTTCCAAGTCCCCCATTTAAAGTCCGCCAATTATTCCCTAAATGTTCACATTAATGTCGAAGTACTTCATGTAATATTTAAAGATTCTACATCTAATAGTTTCTCAGATATAGGAATTTTTCTATTAAATTCATGTGGGGGTTTCAAGCCCCCAAGATAAAAGCCCTCCCTTTTTTCTCCAAAATGTTTAGATGAATATTAAAGTAATTTGTGCAAAATTTGAAGAATCTAGTTCTATTAGTTACCCAGATAAACGAAATTTTGTATTTAATTAATATGGGAGATACCAAGTCCCCCATTGAAAGTCCGCCCGTTATACCCTAATGTCAAAGTTCTTCAAGTAAAATTTGAAGATTCTAGCTCTAATAGTTTCTCAGATATACGAATTTTTCTATTTAATTCATATGGGGACTCCAAGCCCCCCCCTCCCCCAGATGGAAGTCCGATCTTTTTCATCCAAAATGTTCAGACGAATATTTAAATTCTTAGTGCAAAAGTTGAAGAATTTAGTTCTATTAGTTTCCCAGATAAACGAATTTTTGCATTTAATTAATATGGGAGGTGCCGCTCCCCTCATGGGTAGTCCGCCAATTTATTTCCCAAAATGTTAACTTGGATGTTAAAGTTATTTGTGCAAAATTTTAAGATTCTAACTGTAATTATTTCTAAGATAAACGAATTTTTGTTTTTAATTTATATGGGAGGTGCCACGCCCCCTAATGCTAGTCCGCCTACTTTTTGTCCTAAATAATCATATTGACACTAAAGTGGCTCCAACAAAATTTGAGGACTCTAACTGTTATATTATCTCAAATATACGGATTTAATGTTTTCTAATATGGGCGTGGCACCTCGCCCACTTGAAATTTCAAAATAAAAAGTAGCCTATTACCTATTCCAGACATACAGGAATACGCTGTGAAAATTTCAAGAAAATCTGTTTAGCAGTTTTGTAGTCTATAACGTTCAAACATACAAACATACAAACACACATTCATTTTTATATATATACATTAGTTGAGAGCATTTAAGTAATTTTTGGAAATAGACCTATGACCTATTATGGGCCGATCGAAATCTTGGTTGTTGATATGATTTCTGTTGTTATTATATGTATATCTGAACATTTTTGTGATGATAACGATAATTTGGAGGGAGTTCTTAATGATAAATCTGTTATCTGGGAATAAATATGTACCTTAGTATGGGGGCTAGAGGATATTTTATTGATTGATTTCTATATTTTTGAATAAATTTCATCTGTGAATGAAAAACATAAGAAATGACATAATAAAACTACTAAAGAATAGGGGAGAAAACACAATTTTCTCGAAGTTGTCTGAAATTTTTTAGTTAGTGGACCGATTTTGCAGATATATTAAATATTTTGCAACGGACAGAGCTAAATATAGCAAATTAAAATTCATCAAAATATAAATTTTTCTAACATTGAAATTTTTCTCTTTTCAGAAAAGTAATCGGTCATTTTACCGCCATGGTGGGCGATCGTGTACATCATGTCGGCTGTGCTGCCATACGCTTTTACGTATCAAATTTAACCCAAATCCTAATGACTTGTAATTATGACTATAATAACTTTTCCGATGAACCGGTTTATCAGACAGGGCCCACAGCATCAAAATGTAATTACAAGATTAGTGAAAAATATCCAGGTCTGTGTGATTGGAAGAAACCCACGTATGAATATGAAGCAATAGAAGATGAAAATAATAGTAATTTAGTATTGCGTATATAGAGATTAATTGTTATACAATTAAGTATTAGTGTGTTAAATAAGAATTTAGTAATAAGAATAAAGAGAATTAAGAAAGAATTGAACTGAGAAAGTATGACTTGCAGTTTTTACCTAATAACAGATGTTTAACTCAATTGGTTCAAAATATAGGTCAACATATAAATGCATTTGTGTTTGATATATTTAGAAATATACCAGAATAATAGCAAGTTGCAACAATGAAACATTTGTTCAAACATTATCCAAATTTTGTTTAAAAGAACTTCAGTTTTAATAAAAATACTTTTTAGACAGTTAGTCAGTTTAAACTTTTACCTTTAACTATAAACATGTATCAATTCAAGATAATTTTTGCTGTTTTACTAACTCTTTGTATAATCGAGTTCTCCCTGTCGCAGACCAACTATTGTAAGGCTAATTTGTGTAAAAAGGGAAAACATATTGCCTGCAACAATAATGGAGTAAGTTTGAATACAAAATTACCGAAAATTATAAATGAATTCTTCCATTTTCTAGAAATTTGCTGGTGCCTGTGCAAAAAATGCCAAAATTATACGTATAACCCCTAAATTACAAAGAAAAATTGTCCAAAAACATAATTCTTTGAGAAATCGTGTGGCTAGCGGTAAAGTTAATGGTTTGAAGGGAGCCGTTCGTATGGCTACGATACGTTGGAGTCCCGAATTAGCTAGACTGGCTGTATATAATGTCAAACAATGTAAAATGTCACATGACAAATGTCGCAATACCGACAAGTTTAGTTTTGCTGGACAAAATATAGCGAAAAGTTCTTGGAGTGGCCAGAAGAAACCTGTTGGTGCCGTATTAATACAACAGATTCAATCTTGGTTTTCAGAGCATAAAAAGTGTTCTATGAGTGATATTAGGAAGTTGAAAAATATGTAAGTAAAACACTGAACAATTTAAGTGGTTTTTTACAAAAACTATCACTGGTATTTCCTCTAATTTCAGTTCCAAATCTGGTCACTTTACCGCTATGGTTCAGGAGAAAAACATGGCTGTGGGTTGTGCCATCTTACGTCAAAGATCGAATGGTCAAACTATGCAGTTAATGACCTGTAATTATTCTTATACGAATATTCTAGGTTCAGCCGTTTATAGGCATGGACGTACGGCCTCGAAATGCACTACTGGTCGCAATCCTAATTTTAAGTCGTTATGTTCTGTCAATGAGAATTACAATCTTAAAAGTGACAAATATTAATGTTTAAATAAAAACAAAAATGTGACAAATGTCCGATTTAAAAGGCAATTTTTTTTTAACTTCTTTAGAAGTTTTTTTTTTTAAGTCCATTTAGTTTTTTTTTTCTATAATACCACAATTTCACTTTCAAACAAAACATTAAATTCACTTCTTAAAAAATGACTTCAGATGTAGTGAATTTGGAATCAAATATAAACGACATCACTTCTATGACAAACCTGCATCACTTCTGCAGGTCTTTTTCAGTTCTATTATAGTTGAACTTAGAAACTCTTTTTTATTATAAATTCAGAAAATATTAATTGAGAATTTTCACTAAAGACCAATAAAACTCAGAGAAGCCAAATTATAACTGTTATTTTCAATTTCAAATTCGAAAATGATCAATTCAAGTGAGATTTTTCATTTAGTATTCACAAGGAAATGAATTAGTTTTACATAAGAAAAAAACTATTAAATTATTATTTCTTGTCTTTTTATTTAAAATCACAAACATAATTGAATTATTCTCAATATCATTTGTTCTGAATTTCAACTAAAAAATCTTATTTTTAATGTTTTTTTTTAACTCAAAATTTCAATTATTTTGTTCAGAAATTTAAATAAAACATATTAATTTCAATTGCACTTTTCTGAATTTTAAATGAAAAATGTAATTTTTAATTAATTATGTAATTACTTTTCTGAATTCAAAATGAAAAATGTCAATATCCGTTGTTCTTTTTATACCCTTCACCTTCGTGAGAAGGTCATTTTGTCATTCCGTTTCCTATTAAAAATCAGAAAAATCGGTCCATAAATAACTGAGATATGGGCAAAAATCTGAGACTACCTCTAAAAATTTCCTCAACAAATTATAAATAAAAGCATAAAGAACAGAGATAAGGCAGTAATATGTTGGTTATACAGCTTGTATTTGTTTGAGAGTGGTAATACAGGGCATTGGTAATTTGTTAGTGTGTATGTAATGTGTGACATGTGTGCAAAGATACAAGTCGATGCAATACGCGGCTTGTACTACAAATGATGTATGTATGTATAGTTAGTTAGTTAGTTAGTTAGTTAGTTAGTTAGTTAGTTAGTTCGTTCGTTCGTTCGTTCGTTCGTTCGTTCGTTCGTTCGTTCGTTCGTTAGTTAGTTAGTTAGTTAGTTAGTTAGTTAGTTAGTTAGTTAGTTAGTTAGTTAGTTAGTTAGTTAGTTAGTTAGTTAGTTAGTTAGTTAGTTAGTTAGTTAGTTAGTTAGTTAGTTAGTTAGTTAGTTAGTTAGTTAGTTAGTTAGTTAGTTAGTAGTTAGTTAGTTAGTAGTAGTTAGTTAGTTAGTAGTTAGTTAGTTAGTTAGTTAGTTAGTTAGTTAGTTAGTTAGTTAGTTAGTTAGTTAGTAGTTAGTAGTAGTTAGTTAGTTAGTTAGTTAGTAGTTAGTTAGTTAGTTAGTTAGTAGTTAGTTAGTTAGTTAGTAGTTAGTTAGTTAGTAGTTAGTTAGTTAGTTAGTTAGTTAGTTAGTTAGTTAGTTAGTTAGTTCGTTAGTTAGTAGTTAGTTAGTTAGTTAGTTAGTTAGTTAGTTAGTTAGTAGTTAGTTAGTTAGTTAGTTAGTTAGTTAGTTAGTTAGTTAGTGTAGTTAGTTAGTTAGTAGTTAGTTAGTTAGTTAGTTAGTTAGTTAGTTAGTTAGTTAGTTAGTTAGTTAGTTAGTTAGTTAGTTAGTTAGTTAGTTAGTTAGTTAGTTAGTTAGTTAGTAGTTAGTTAGTTAGTTAGTTAGTTAGTTAGTTAGTTAGTTAGTTAGTTAGTTAGTTAGTTAGTTAGTTAGTATTAGTTAGTTAGTTAGTTAGTTAGTTAGTTAGTAGTTAGTTAGTTAGTTAGTTAGTTAGTTAGTTAGTTAGTTAGTTAGTTAGTTAGTTAGTTAGTTAGTAGTTAGTTAGTTAGTTAGTTAGTTAGTTAGTTAGTTAGTTAGTTAGTTAGTTAGTTAGTTAGTTAGTTAGTTAGTTAGTTAGTTAGTTAGTTAGTTAGTTAGTTAGTTAGTTAGTTAGTAGTTAGTTAGTTAGTTAGTTAGTTAGTTAGTTAGTTAGTTAGTTAGTTAGTTAGTTAGTTAGTTAGTTAGTTAGTTAGTTAGTTAGTTAGTTAGTTAGTTAGTTAGTAGTAGTTAGTTAGTTAGTTAGTTAGTAGTTAGTTAGTTAGTTAGTTAGTTAGTTAGTTAGTTAGTAGTTAGTTAGTTAGTAGTTAGTTAGTTAGTTAGTTAGTTAGTTAGTTAGTTAGTTAGTTAGTTAGTTAGTAGTTAGTTAGTTAGTAGTTAGTTAGTTAGTTAGTTAGTTAGTTAGTTAGTAGTTAGTTAGTTAGTTAGTTAGTTAGTAGTTAGTTAGTTAGTTAGTTAGTTAGTAGTTAGTTAGTTAGTTAGTTAGTTAGTTAGTTAGTTAGTTAGTTAGTTAGTTAGTTAGTAGTTAGTTAGTTAGTTAGTTAGTTAGTTAGTTAGTTAGTTAGTTAGTTAGTTAGTAGTTAGTTAGTTAGTTAGTTAGTTAGTTAGTTAGTTAGTTAGTTAGTTAGTTAGTTAGTTAGTTAGTTAGTTAGTTAGTTAGTTAGTTAGTTAGTTAGTTAGTTAGTAGTTAGTTAGTTAGTTAGTTAGTTAGTTAGTTAGTTAGTTAGTTAGTTAGTTAGTTAGTTAGTTAGTTAGTTAGTTAGTTAGTTAGTTAGTTAGTTAGTTAGTAGTTAGTTAGTTAGTTAGTTAGTTAGTTAGTTAGTTAGTTAGTTAGTTAGTTAGTTAGTTAGTTAGTTAGTTAGTTAGTTAGTTAGTTAGTTAGTTAGTTAGTTAGTTAGTTAGTTAGTAGTTAGTTAGTAGTTAGTTAGTTAGTTAGTTAGTTAGTTAGTAGTAGTTAGTTAGTTAGTTAGTAGTTAGTTAGTTAGTTAGTTAGTTAGTTAGTTAGTTAGTTAGTAGTTAGTAGTTAGTAGTTAGTTAGTTAGTTAGTTAGTTAGTTAGTTAGTTAGTTAGTTAGTTAGTTAGTTAGTTAGTTAGTTAGTTAGTTAGTTAGTTAGTTAGTTAGTTAGTTAGTTAGTTAGTTAGTAGTTAGTTAGTTAGTTAGTTAGTTAGTTAGTTAGTTAGTTAGTTAGTTAGTTAGTGTAGTTAGTTAGTTAGTTAGTTAGTAGTTAGTTAGTTAGTTAGTTAGTTAGTTAGTTAGTTAGTTAGTTAGTTAGTTAGTTAGTTAGTTAGTTAGTTAGTTAGTTAGTTCGTTCGTTCGTTCGTTCGTTCGTTCGTTCAAAGCTGAATTTGTTTAATTATCATAAGTATTACAGAAAACAAAGTGTTACAAATTTTAAACTTTTGTTTCTAATGCGCAAATGACTCCATGTCTCAAAATTATTTATTTAATTGTGTTTCATACATAAGTCAAATAAATAGATTACTGCTTAAGATCTACACCACTGTGTTTACAGTTTTAAATAAATATTAACAAATATTCAAACGTTATTATTTTAAACCCGTAAATATTATTTTAAAAATATAAACACTCACATTACATTGGTCCTACAAATTAGAACTAGAACTCGTTAAGGCCAACTACTGCGCTCTGCCTTTTTATTTGTTTTGACTAAAATTTTCTTTTCATGGTTGGCAACAGATTCGAAACAGTTAAAACTTATTGCTAACGCTGATTTCCGTTGTATTAGTAACAATATTAACGCTTTAATGCCTTAACAAAACACAATAGAGCACAATCAAAATTGTAGAAATAAATAATAAATTGTTGATATCTAATGTCTAATTACACTTATCTTATTTCGGTTCAGTTTTATCAAAAAAAAAGGTAATTTGTTTCCTGAAGGAGTATTAGAAAACAAATTTGTTTGAATTAATAGTATTAAATGAAATTTTAAAATTTTAGGTCACTGTAAATAATTTCAACTACATTGTTTAAGTATAATATTAATTTGTTAAATATTAATAGGTGTTAAATAAACAGTTATATTTCGAACTTTCCAGAAAAAACAAATATTCAAATGCTTAACGGCAAAATATGCATCATTCTGCTTTCGGTAAATTCCCGAAAGCTGAACGTATGGCTACCATGGTTTTGAGCAGCGAATTGGCCAAAATAGCTGAATACAATGTCAAACAATGTAAAATGCAACATGATGAATGTCGGAATAGATTCAGTGACAAGAAAACGTCCCTCGACAAAGTTGTCAATGTTCATGAAATGTTTATTTTGTCTCACTGTGTTATGTAAATTTAAAATAATCACTCACCTATTTAGCACTTGTTTCCTTTCTTTAATTTGATATGTATGTGATTTATTCTAACAACCTTTTTATTTGACTTTTATAAAGCTTTTTTAACGATATGGAATTTATTTCCTCTTTATATTTTTTCACTGCACATAAAAGCTTATTTAACTTTATTTTGCCTCTTTTTTTCTTTGCACTAAAAGCTTTTTCTTAAGCCTTTTCTTTACTTTTTATTTCTTTTTCGCTATTCCACTAAACAAGCGACCAACCAACCAATCAGCCATACACATTCACACAAACAAACAATTTATATGTATACCTACAAACGAATGGCCAAAGCAACAAAGCGACCGGCACAAAATTGCAAAATTATTCAACAAAATTTAACTAATTTACTTGATATTTTTTAACGATATTTTTACACACGAATATTAAACAACATTTAAACTAAATAATTATGTAAAACTATTTGCAATTTATTAACTTTTAATAGGATTTATTAATTAATTAAGCGAACGCAAATCACCGGGCAACCGAACACTTCAGAAATTTCTAGAAAACTAAAAGCAAAATGCAAGTAATTGTTGTTGTTATTGTCATTGGTACTCTGTTGCAAAAAGTTATGTGTGGTTGTTGTTATTTTCGAAGAGGGAGTAAATGGGATAAAAGTAAAATGCGTGAGTGGATTAAAAGGAAAGAGATTCAGTAGTGAGAAGTGTGGGGTGGTATGGGGAGTAATAAGAAAGCTTTATATAAAAGAGGAAAAGTTCGAAAGTTTAGTAAAGGAAATTAAAAATCGTACATATATGCAAAAAAAGGCGTTAAAA